CTCCTTGTGATTCAGGACGTTTATAGACTTTGTAGCTTCTAGTTTTTACAATTCTCTCTGGTAAATTGATGCTACACCCACTTTTAAATCAGCCAGAAAACCAGCTGCTTAGTGCAAACTAATGCTGAAGTAACTCTAATCTGTTTGGTTAAATGATACTCATATAATCATGGCATGAAACCTTCGAGATAATTGCTCTGTCAAAATGGTTTTTCAACCAAAGTCTTCACTATTAAGCTTAAGTCAACCGGCCAGTACAAAACAAGGGGAACAATATAAAAACTACAAGATATTTACTCATATACAAACTTTTCATAATAACAGATAGAACAGTACTAAAATTACAGTTTGAAAATCCTGACTCGTTGTCGATTTTGGAGAGGTGTGTAGCTTCCTCTCCGAATGTGATTGGCTAAATATTCTTGTGAATTAACAATGCGGTAATTGCGATGCCAAAAACACAACCTTACGAGTCTCATTACAACACGGGTGGCTAACAATTTCTTACAGGTCATTATAATTACAGCTTGAAGAATCAATACAATGATGTGACGTGGCATTATCTCAACTAATATTATTTAAATATTTTTCATGGAGTTGGTATCAGTTGATCATAAATTACAATTTCCATTGCTTGCATTTCTATTGTTTAACAGTAACATCTATTTACAATTGTGAGTAAATAAAAATGTTATATATTTTTCTGGTAATCAACAAGCTATTATCTCCTTCATAAAAATTAAGAACCTAATTAAGAACCTACTTAGCATAAATTGCCATACGTACCCCAAAATACAAGGACCTATCTTGCCAGACTTCAAAAAATGTTGGTTCTTATTAGCGGGTGTTTACTGTATATGTTGGTTTTGGGGTATGGTAATGTATGGTAATGAGTTTAAAGCAAAGGGAAATAAAAGTTGAACCAAGGATAAAATTGAACCACAAAAAAAAAATATATCAACGCGTTGTTGCGCACATTCGGCTGTTTGAGGGTGCGAGCGTCGTCAGAGGCAAAAGAGGACTCCAGAGTTGAGTCAGATTTTTGATGCAATACATGGGAGAAAAATGGCAATTAAGGTTTAATGTCACAGTCTAATAAATTACCTTCTCGGTCTTGAGTAAAGCGCTTGTTGCTTATTTTTCTGTGCTTTTCTTCGAAGCCAGAACACCATTAGAAAGACAACCAAAAGGAAGACAGCGACTCCTGCCACCAAACCGGCATACTGCAAAGCAGACAGGCTGCCGCTCATGGAATATGTGGATGGTGGTGGGCTTGATTCTGAAGGTGTGGCTATTCCATCTCGTGAAAGCATAACAAAAAAGAAGCATTACATGAAAACCTAAAGTCCGGCCCCGGGGAGCTGGTACGTATCTTTTCATCTAGTCTTGCGTTCTGATCATCGACCGGACTGTCGACTGTCGACCAACTGTGGTACTGACTGCATTATTATGAATACGCTAGTAGAGTAAGACTTTAAGTTTAAAGGAGTTTAATTTTACTTTTTTGCATAGGTTATTCGCCAGGCTCATTTCTATTCGGAAATTCAAGACATTTCCGATTCCTTTGCCGCACAACCTTTCAGTGAACATTTTAATAGATTTAACTTTAAGGCGTTTCGATACAGTTTTTCAGAGGCCATATTTCTCAATCGCCTTAAAAGTGTATTTTTCCTTGTCCGATCGCTGTAAAATTTTCACCAGTAATTAGTTATGGATTGAAATTTGTGAAAATGTAGTTTTAAATAAAATCGATATTACTATGACAACAATAAACAAAAAACTTTGAAATTGATAAAAGCCGAATTTTGTGTGATCGAGACCGAGCTACTGAAAATCCAACACTGGGAACTTAAAGTTCGGTGTTTAGCAAATAATCTCCGCAAGAAGTAAAAAATTCTGTATGTTCGAATTCGACTAAAAGGAAAATATATTTCAAACCTTAAATTTTCAATACCCGTGATAGATTATTAAATAAAAACTTTATAAATGACTCAAATTATTCTTAAGTAACGTCAGAATGCTGCTAACAATATCATATTTTGATGCTAGGAAATTTTGGTGTATTTTCGTTCATGCGATTTTGAAAACTAACCCGTTTTCTCACCACTTGTATAAACGCAACTTCATTCAAAATTTGGACTTTTAGCGCTTTTTTGTATATCTCTGAAACAACCCGAACGAATATTTTAAAAATATCTTCACATAATCTTCATAATGTATATAGTAAGGTCTGAAACTTTCATTGAGAGTGATTAACTGCAACATCTTAAAATTTCAAGACAAACCTATCCTACGAACCTGTCAAAAATCTGCGTTACAACATTCACTGTTTTGACGTTATGCTAATTTTTCGAAAATAATGCGCACTATACACACCTCCATAACCAGTACATTTTAGTTTGAATTTATCGCATCTTTTTAATGTAAAACATTGACAATACTCACACTGAAATGTTCTAGTCATGGATATATGTATTGTCCGCATTAATTTGGAAAAATTAGCATAACGTTAAAGCAGTGAATGTTGTGGCGCGGATTTTTGACAGGTTCGTAGGATAGGTTTGTCTTGAAATTTCAAGGTGTTGCATTGAATCAATCTTTAATGAAAGTTTCAAACATTATTATATACATTATGAAGATTATGTGAAGAGATTTTCAAAAAATTCGTTCGACTCGTTTCAGCGCTAAAAGTCCAAATTTTGAATGAAGTTGCACTTATACATGTGGTGAGAAAACGGGTTAGTTTTTAAGATCGCAAGAACGAAATACGCCAAAATTTCCTTGCATCGAAATATGACATTAAGCAGCATTCTGACGCTGCTTAAGAATAATTTGAGTCATTTATAACGTTTTTATTAAATAATCTATCACGGCTATTGAAAATTTATAGTTTGAAAGATACTTTCGTTTTAGTCGAATTCAAACGTACAGAATTTTTTACTTCTTACAGAGGTTATTTGCTAAACACCAAATTTTAAGTTTTTAGTGTTGGATTTTCAGTAGCTCCTCTAGATCCCGCAAAATTAGCCGTTCATCAATTTCAAAGTTTTTTGTTTATTGTTGTCATGGTAATATCGATTTTACTAAAACCTACATTTTGACAAATTTCAATCCATAGTCAACCATTGGTGAAAATGCTATAGCGATCAGACAAGGATAAAATCCCTTTTTTTTTGTTTAGAGTAACTGACTGTGATGAAGATCTGATTTACTTCCAAGAGGACCTAGACAAACTCCATCAATGGGGCCAACGTAATCAGATGGACTTCAACACTAAAAAGTTTAAGATCATAAGAATCACTAGCAAACAAGTACCCTTTACTAACAGTGTGCATATGAATGATATCGTTCTTGAGGAGGTTAAAGAATTTAAGGATCTCGGAATATTGACTGATTGCAGTTTATCCTGGAACTCTCATACTGACATGATTACTGCTAAGGCAAACAGAATGCTGGGCCTAATAAAAAATACGTGCAAGGATCTCAAGGATAAAGCCACTTTAAAGACCTTGTTTTGTTCCCTCCTCAGATCTAATTTGGAATACTGTTCAGTTGTCTGGTCTCCCTTCACAAAGAGAAACATAGACAAACTTGAAAGAATTCAACGTAGGGCAACCAAGTTTATTCTTAAATCCAATGATCAATACGATATTCGTTTAAGAGAGCTCAATTTGTTAACCCTTGAACAGAGACGTTTCTTATTTGATGTCACTTTTTTGTTTAAGGCCCTCAATGGCTATATGGATGTGGATTTTTCTCAATTTTTGGATTTTTATTGTCAAGAGGATCGCTACTCGTTTCGACACTTTGATAATAGATCATTAAAGAAGAGATTTGCGAGGACAAATGTACTTAAAAACAGTTTCTTTCATGGGATAGTGGATAAATGGAACATTCTGCCGTATGAGATCCCCTCTGCTTCAAATGTCTACATTTTTAAATCCAAAGTTATGAGATTTTTATTGCAATGTAAATAATATACATTAGCTTGAATTTTTTTTTTTAAAGTAATAATACTGCTACAAGTAGTGTTTTTTTTTTTTTTTTTTTTTTTTATAATTTAAATACAAATATTTTTTTTTTTTTTTTTTTTATTATTTTATTCTAAAAAAGTTTTTTTTTTTTTTTTTGGGGAGGTTTTTTTTTTTTTTTAAATTTCTCTTTTTGCTTTTACTCTTGTTTTTGCCCTAAAAATATTAATAAAAAACAAAAAAAAGAAAACGATGAAAAAACAAACTCTAACCTGAATTTGTTGTAATTTCCAGTGTTTTTGATCTGTTACTTTCTCCCAACTCATTCCAGGCAGACACTTCGATCACATACCGCGAGTTACATTTTAACGTCAGAATGAACGCATTCTCTTCGAGATCATTTATTTCATGCCATATTGCCTCTTGCTTGTCTTCATAACTCAGTCTGTAGTACACTGAGTACTTGGTCAGCGGACATCCGTTATCAGCAGGGGTGCTCCATGTAAGGTTGACGTCGCAGCTTAATGTTTTGGTTTTCTCCATCTGTATAGTAGGAGTTAATGGTACGCCTGTAATTGGTCAGGTTAAAAGAGAGTTAATTAGCGGTTCCGCTAAGAGAAATGAAACGAGACCAGAAAAAGAGAGAACTGATTTAGGGAATTTCTCTATTCATTTAGATAAGTTACTTAACCCAATTAAATGAAATTAATTGAAATTAAAAGCTTTGGAAACAGGGACAGATGCTCAGATTAGCAGACTGAGAATCTTGAAACATAAGTTCATGAACTAATAAAAACGACCTTTCGAAACCTCGACGGTCACGCAGTGAAGTTCATGTGAAAAACATGTGAATTTTTCACAGGAATTTCACAGAGTTTTCACATAGGTTTTCACATATTATTTCACAGAGATGTGAAATGATATGTGAAATAATCATGTGAAATACCTGTGAAACGGGCTCCACGTTCTTACATAGTATTTCCACAAGATGTGATGTGAAATATCATGTGAAAAGCATGTGAAACACAGCTTACAAGGATAGATTAACCACCTTCCAGTGCAAATAGCTGTGAAATTTTCTTACCATGTGAAATACCATGTGTAATGGGTGTGATCTGTGAAAAACCATGTGAAATAATTATTATGTGAAACTGCAAACAGCCTGAGAAAGGTTAAAGAAATATAAATATATATCAAAATATAATGAAGTACACTCATTAGTGAGAATAGATTCATTTTAATAAAATATTTACATGCATACAGCAACAATCATGTATATGTTAGAGGTCAAAATTAAATTTTGCGCTAAATTAAGGAACTAACTTTATTACTAATGATTAAGACAAAATCACGTTCATGTAAGAGTGTGGACAGCTAACAACACCCACAAAATATATGTGCTGGGTTTGACTATAACCCTCCGTTACAAAATTTGTAATGCTTAATTTTGGGCTCACGGATTAAACGTTGACATTAAAATATTCTTACAAGGTTCATGGACTTTTCATGGCACTGTAATGACCCATAAGGGCGCTGCATGTCTCGAATGTTTAAGTAGGGTACATGCTCTTTTGAACGCTGATTGGTCGACGGAGTAGTTACATTGTTTGAGGTACTGTTTACGAATGACAGGCAAAAGACAAAAGGCTACAAAGGTTAAATGTAAAAGCGCTGAATCTCTATCAAAACAATCAATATCTGCGAAATATAGTCTCTCTAGAAGAAACATTTGAGTTTTTCCCGGGGGGGGGGGGACTGCCATATATGGGCTATATAGGTATGTGCCGCTCTGAAGGGTATGGTTTTCAAGCAGTTTCCTCTAGGATAGGGTATATAAATCAGAGCGCTTGAGTTTAGAATAGGGTAGGGTAGGGTAGTAGGGTCAGGAAACTGATCAGTTGGTTGAAGATTTTATCTGGACTAGGGAAACAGCTACTCTAGGATAGGGGGGATTTGGAGAGTTTACTCTAGTATAGGGTAGCAAAATTTAGCTGAACTAGCTCTGGTATAGGTTAAAGGTTCCAGGGTCCCAGCGGCACATCCCCACCCAGAAATTCCTGAGGTACCCCCCCCCCCCCCTTCCGGGGAGTTTGGCTGGAGCTCGTTCGCAGATGAGCACAACACTTTGCCAAAATCGACCAGGGGAAACGTAAAATTGAACATATTTGCATTTGGATCCCCATGACTATTATTATGTAAACATTGATTTATGTCATCAGTATGGAACTTCTGCCGCTGAGTTGCAGACGTTCCTCTGAGGGAAACGTCCTCAGAGGCGAATTGAAGAACCAGGAGAAACGGCTGTTTTCCCAGGCTATATAGACCTCGTCACGGTTTTCGACGCCATCTTGACAAGTAAGCAAACGTGTGAGAAATTACAGTGTTTGTATGAGAATCTAATGTCGAATAATTTCCGTAAAATGGCTGTTTTGAAAAACATATGACTCGTTAACTAAAGCTACAAAACAAAGGATTGTGCTAAAAAATTTGGAGTGTGTACCTGTGCTTAAATTTCTCCAGAGGCTTGCTTTAGATTTTCCATATGTTTGTCTGTAATTTTTCCCGGGACTTTCTTATAGACAAAATGTATAGAAAATTTAAAAAAGTGGTTCTAGGTCTTCTAGCACATTTGACGCCCTCATTTTTTTCAGTAGAATCCTTAGGAGTGAAGCTTTAGTTTACAATTCATATTTTTTTCAGAACAGCCGTTCTACAGAAATTATTCAACGTTAGATACTCATACAAACACTGAAATTTCCCACGCGTTTGCCTACTCGTCAAGATGGCGTCGAAAACCGTGACAAGGTCTAATAAAATGTTTATCAATTTTCTTATATATTTGAAGGTAAAATTTCATGTCCTTTTATTTCTATTGTTGAATACAAAACTCTCTTTATTCTGGCATCTTAAATCTGTTCTATTCTAAATACCCATCCCAGAAAATTTGATAATCACGTGACCGTACACCGACCGACCGCCCGCCCGAGCGACCGTCCGTCCGCACCACAGGAGAACCAATGTTATACTTTCACACTTTCTAACTACTAGGTATAAATAGATTGTGCTCGGCAACTCTTGAGCAACTTTTAGCGTTTTCAGCAACTTTTTGTACTGCGAGCAACCTAGAGCAAATTTTGTCTTCCTTGGCAACTTATGAGTCAACAAATAGTTAAAAACTGACCAAACCATCAAAAAGGTCTTCATTAAAATGTTTTTGTTAAAGCTGGTCAAAACTAAGGATGTCGTACGTTCTTACAAATAATTTATAAAATAGCAGGTGCGCCCAAGAACTGGACAGCAGCTATCTATCTAACGGGCGCTTACATCCAGCGGTTATTCGCTCCAACAATAGAGCTTCCCGCCCGCCATCTTGGTATTTGCTGCAGTGCGAGGCATCACGATTAGAAGCTGAAATGTCTGACGAGGAAAGTGAAAATAATGCAGATATTGACCCTACTGAGGCTACCATAGCCGCTGGGGCAACTCTAAGTAGTCCTGTAAGAGCTTCAATTTCCAGAAGTTTAACGATCAACAAGACAATGCCCTAGAGGACTACCTTGAGGCTTCAGTTATGATAAGATACAACAATGCAAAGAGGCTGTAAACTTTAAAGTTTACAACCTCTTTGCATTGTTGTATCTTATCATTATAAGATAGGATAAAGGTTGTAAACTTGATCACTGTCTAAAGTGTATAGTCAGCACTATGATGTCTATAGCACACATTGTGAAGTTTACTCATTAATTAGAAACGTCATTAAAAAATACTTTCTATTATTAGTGACGCTGAGCTTAAAGATTATATTGATCACAACAAATGATGTAAAAAATGTTCTAAATTTGGGTGGCAACTTTTAAATTTTTTAGCAACTTTAGAGCACCTTTTGGATGTATTGTCAAGCAACTTTTGCTTGATTGACTAGCACAATCTATTCATGCCTATTTGGGAGCCCGGGAGAAAACTGATTGCACATCAATGTTGTGATCAATTGACAGCTGTCAAAACAAGGTATCTGCTGATCAGTATCACCTGACCGTGTAGCGGGCTCAGGTGTCGACCCATCGAGGTCGAGCACTTTTTGAAGTTATTCGCTGACAAGTTAATAGTTTTCAAATGATCGCAAGCTCAATTTTATTTTTTTTTAAAATTTCATTTTAAATATGTTGTGTTTATATCTATGTGTATGTTTATGTTTGTGTCTATGGCCCTGCACTATTAAGATTTTGACTTCAAACTAACCTCGGACGCTAACATTCCGCCAGTTATTAAGAAATACAGGTGGGGAAGACTTTTCTTACCAAGGTCACGCGTTGGTCACGCTCTACGACTAATTTTTTATACTCTGATTGGTCAAAATTTGACAGGTGAGTTCATGCGGAAAATTTATGCAGCATCTTGAAACTTGTTTACTTTGACAGGTGAAGCTGCCAGAGTTTTGTGTCAACTTGTGATCTTTTTAACTTTTTTTTTTCCACTGGATGTACAAAATAAAATACAGCTGCTATCAAGAGTCTTTTGTTATTCATGGCTAGTTTGCTTATTGTTTTTTCCGTTGAGAGATACGTCGCTTGTCAAAGTCGGAAATCCGATTTCGGATGGCATCGTTTTGGTTTTTCACCTTGCTTAATGCGTAAGAGAGTTCAAAAGTCTCAAGCGATTCTGGCCTTACTTGATAGCTTTCGGGAGCTGCATCTCGAATGGGAAGCCTGAGTAATTAATGTGTTTGATGTTTATTTTTTTATATCTAATTTCATGAAGTCGAGCACAGTTTATGCAGCAAGTTAATGCACGTTTGTAAGATTTGAGACAATGATCTGACCTAGTATCAGGTCTGATATAAGCTTACAGAACTTTAAAAAGCCTTTAGATATATTTTCTCACCGCAAATAGAAAGAAACGTTCCGAAGAATATTTAGTTATAAATTTGGCTGTTGAAAGAAAACTTTGAGCGATTTTCTTGCCTCCTCGAGTTCATCTTTGAAAAAAGTAAACACCGGGAGTCTGGCTTAAAACATAAACGTAAGCTTTAAGCTTTATAAAGACTCAGGATTTTTAAAAACACTTTAATACCTGTCGTCGTGAATGAAAATTGTTGTCTCTGTAAATGTTTCACCAAATTATATTTCTTTCATTGATTGTTAGTAGTCTCTCCTGCAATTTTAATCGCTGTGCCGTTTGTTTTCAGTCGTTCATGGACATCGCATGCATGAGTATTCAAAATGCCGCGCGTATCAAACGCTTTTCAAGATTACACATCGTTATAAAACCATTAAATAAAAAAATAAATTAACGTAATAAATTTTTTATTATGTTGAAGAGTAACTCTGTTAATGTTGACTGCAAATTTGGCGCTCGTCAAATGTGAGAACCGGCTGACCGTATAAGTGATTTTGCACTTTTTTTTAACGTTTTCGCTAAAAGCCCATGACTTCCTGAATACTGACTGAGTGCAATTTGTCTCGAAAAATTGTGAAATACTGCATTTTTTCCGAGGTCTGTATGATAAATAGTACTGTTTCTCCTCAGATATGATGCATAAAAAGTATAAACAGGTTGGTTTACACACCCCCAGATTTGTGGGCAAGATTTTGTAAAGTAAACTTGTCGATAGCAAAAACTTCGGCCTGTTTTGTTTTCCAGGCCTTAAATCTACTGTGATCAAGAGCCATTATGGCTCTTGAATGTGATCGAAGATGATTGCTATTTTTTGGGTGTACATATAAGGTTATCAACTCGATGCAGGATGCTTCACTCTAAAATCACTTAGCCTTTCCGTCAAAAGTCACATGAATGTGCCCTTAAGTTAACTGATTTGTGGATTACAATATTAATGGGAGCTTCGCTTTTAGCCCTGGCTTAATCTATATATTAGACTTGACAAGTCGGTGTCTGCCAGAATATTGTGTACAGTGGAGTGTAAGCTTATTCAGGTAGGATTCCGTCGATTGCATCTTCCCCTAAAGTTTCTTGTTCACGTCAGGAAGATTTAACTCAAATCTACAGCTTCATAATTAGTATACGTGTCGAAATAGTCGACCATCAGATGAGCCATGTAACAACGAACCACAGTCGGCAGGAAGATACCTTTACCTTCCACAATCCAGCTGACTTATTG